AATGGATATTTATTAGATAGGTATCTTTTCTGCAAATTACGGACAAGCCCTCCCCACCCCGTCCCGTTCTTGGCAGATGAGTGTGATCGCTGCAGAGGAAAATCCCCAGAATGACACAATACAACTGTGCTGCCAGGTGAGCAAAATAGCAAAAATTGATACTAGGTGAAAGCAGGCGTGTTTCCCTGTTTGGATGACCTGCTGATTGGCTAATTACATGGGTGTTAGCAGGTGATTTGCTAATTGGTTGCCTGATGAGGATAGATTACACCATGAGGCTGTCGAGATCATTACATGCACCCTGTAACAACAATGTTGATGTCACAGTATTAAATGTTATCACACCAACATGATCTGACACAGGAGCCCATCTTGTCTCCTCTGGCTCGTCGCATCCTTCCCTGATAAATCCTGATAGTCGTCCAGCCACTGCCTGTTTTTATAGCGTGATGAGCTGCAAGTCTGTTGCAGTTATTTCTGTTCCTTTTTTTGTTTTATTATTTTCTCTTATTGAAACTATTTGTGTCTTTTATCTTCGTCTCTGCTGTTGTTGGCTCTGCAGGGAAAACTCAGATAACCCGAAGCCAAAAGCTCTGGCCAGCTCCTCTGTTTGCAGCGCAGACGTTTTAAAAATTTCATCTTAGCCTTGGCCAGGAGCAGAGTTCCTATAAGTTGGCCTTGGCCCAGATCTCTTGGTTTATCTTATGGATCAATAACTTGAATCAATTGATCCTCTAAGGAGGAGACTATTGACCGAAGGATTTTTGTCATTTGCATTTGCAGTTTCCATTTCATTTTAGATCAGAAGAAGCTCTTCAGATTTTTTTAGCACAACACTTTTTCTTGCAATTAATGTTGTTTACAATCAAGTTTAAAACTTTTGCCAAAAGATATGTATTGAAATAAAAATAAAATAGCAATATAATTTTAACTGTAATAATAAACCATTTCTCTGAAATACAGGATTGCTGCAAGACATTGCTTTAAAATTGTTGTAACAGTACCATAAAAGTATGATATTTTTTATTCAATGTTTTTTCAGTACTATGAATATATCATGCTGGCTACTTATTTACTGCCAAATCCTTGGTTAATCCATTCAGGGGACTAATTTTCTGCTGTGAATCACTTGTAGTTTATTGCTTTTTTGTTGTTACACCTTTTACCTTTAATACTCTTTAATAAAAAAAATGTGGTATTTGGATCTCCCAGTTGACTTATTTAATATTTTAACTTTCATGTATTCCTGTGATATTTAATCACAGGAATGCAGAGTTTTATTATAGAAACATGCTCGGGCTTTGTTTGCAGTGACATGTGTGCAGCTCTTAGCTCACCTGCAGTAATGAGATATGAAAAAGATCTGAGATCAAGATTCTGGATACATGCGGTGAAATGATCTTCTGCCTGGTCTCATCCTAAAAGATGGGGAAGTTCATATTGCCACGGCTTCCTCACTTTGAAAGGAGTCAGCTGAGTTTTTTCATAGTGTTGATTAGATTGCCTTTTTTGATGCTTCCCTTTGTAGGTTTACCGGATGCGTCCTGCTTGGACAACCTGAGGCAGTCCCTGAACAATGACTCTCTATAATCCAGTGTATCCCAGCTCCTGGAAAACATTTAATTATGATTTATAAACACAATTTTTTTTTTCCAAACTTGTAAAACATATTTTGACTGCATTTCTTCTGTGTGGTCTGGTGCAAGACTGAGATTTAATTGTTGGCATGTACAGATTTCTTTGATCAGGTAATGAGGACTGTTAGTTTGCAGGTGATCATGCATCCTATAATTTTACTCCTTTAACCTGGTGTTAGTACTTTGCAAAATTATTCATTCCCCTTGAACTTTGTCATATTTTGTCACACTAACCACAAACTTTAATGCATGTCTCTCGTCTTTCCAATTTTTCAAGAGCTGCACAGATTTACACCAATGCATGGCTTCCTGATTTTAAAAAGGGTTTCAGTAGACACTCTTGTAAACGTAAAAAGACAAAATGGCAAAATAGAATACACATGTTGTCATTATAGTTAATATAATGAAATATTGTTTGAGACACAATTTAACTTGAATACAGAACAATGTTACTCTGCACAATACAGCATGGCAACTAATAATTTAAGTTCTACAAAAGAGATACAAACATTGTGGTAAATGGTGATCTGTAATGTAGAAGCTCAGAAGATTGGAAACGTCGGCGCCGAGGACGAGCTTCATACTCAAAGGCGGCAATTGCCACGGGAGATTGAAGGAGTTCTCTACATGCATGAAAGAATAAAGCCAGCACCTTCATAACACGATGTAATGCTAAGAAAGTTTATTTTACACAGTATTTCCCCTTCGGCAGTTCTAGTTTCATTGGCATTTTATGGCGTGTTTGGTAGCTTGTGATGTTCATCCACTTTTGATCTGTTGTTCTGAAAAGAAACCTTTTTAGTCATTCTCTATGTAATTGCACTGCTGGATACCTAACATGCTTTATTTGTATATCTATTTTATAGGAATTATTAGGTGTGTCAATAATTGTAACAACAATAATTATTTCACTATTTTGTATGTAAGTAAAACATATGGACTCATAGCACTTATGTAACAATTAGGTGATCTAATTTTCCAGTATGACGAGGCATTTATTTATTTATTTGCAGACCGCAGCAGAGAGTGGAAATGATTAATACGGTGATAATACGGTGATAGACAATTCTTTTATTCTTCATTTAACTCTTGTTACCTTTTTCACTCAACTCAGATTTACAGCATTTGATTTGAAATGACCATAATGGAATGACGTTGACCTGGAAACCTTGTCAGTCCTGGTCCAGGGAATCCCAGTGGAGACTAACATGAAACAAACCCCCCACCTCCCCTTCAGGGCTCATCCGATGCTTCTGAAGAGGAGGAGGAAACAGACGAGGAAGCTTATGTCAAACCTGCAATCTCCAGGCTACAATTTCCTTTGAAGTGCCCCCTGAGTATAGTCTCTGGCCCTCATCACCTTGCTGATGTCTACAAACAGCTTGTCAGTCAAAGTTATGGGAAATCTGTGTTGCTGGCAGCACAGGTGACTGTGCTCATGTGTGCGAGCGCATGGTTGCTGCATCTGCAGGCATCTGTGTGCTTCAAATAGCAGTGATCACCTTAGCAACAAACACATCTACCTGGTGCTCTGTCGCTGAAAACAGTCGTGAGTTTGGGTGTGTGTGTGTGTGTGTGTGTGCGTGTGAGTGTGTGTGAGATGGAAAAAGAAATGCAGGGGGGAGGTTGGGTGATGCAGGTGGAGAGATGGAGGATGACAGAAAATAAGCGGGGGTTGGGAAAAATCGTGGAACATGGCTCAGAGTTTGATTTGATGGCAGTAGCACTGATATTGCCCACATCTTTGAAAACATTTCCTTTCATTTGTTTCTTCAAACTTTACATTTTCCAGGATATTTTCTTCAGATGAAAATAGCCTAGTGCTCCACCTTCTGCACTCTACTCATTTTTGTCTTATTTTTGCTTCTCAGCATCTCCTCTTTGCGTTTGTCACATGAAAGAAGCAAGCTATAAAAGCAATGCTTTGGGGTTCTGAAAATGCAGAAAAACGTCCATGTTCAAACGTCTTTGAAAGTGGTGCAATTTATGTCTGGCAATATTAATTCCACAGTGCTGGTTTGTGTGATATAGCAGATTCAGGGAAAACTGTAGGATTAGTTTGTTTTTTTTAATTAAAATCCATGTACAGTTTTTTTCTGGTGATTTTGTGATGTCACTGCATCTTTTGGTGCATTGATAAAATTCTTGATACATTATATTTACAAATACTGTATTAATTCTCCTCAAATCGCAAACAGAAATGTGTGGTCGCTATGTAGATATTGGTGTGTTTTGTTTTTCTTAGGTTTTTAGAATTTGGACTAATGATCTTTGAACATTTTCACATTTTGTCACACTACAACCTTAAATTTTATTGTGTATATATATATATATATATATATATATATATATATATATATATATATATATATATTATATATATATAATATATATATACAATTATATATATATATATATATATATATATATATATATATATATATATATATATATATATATATATATATATATTATATATATATATATATATATATATATACAAATTATATATATATAATTTATTTATTTATTTATTTATTTATTTTTTGGTCATGGGCCATTACAAAGCACTGTATAATCATAAAGTGGATAAAAATAGATTAAAAGTTTTTTTTTTACTTTAAAAATTTTTTTTACAAATAAAAGTCTTACATATTTTCTTCATCCCCTATTAATCTGATACCTAAAATCAATTTTGGTTCAATTTTCCAGATGCCTCCAGACATAATCTAAAGTAGAGTTCCCATACATCTTCCCTGTGAGAGATTTGGTGGAGCAAATCATCTTGGAGACTAAAGAGCACATCAATTCTAAAACAATGTTCAATAATTTTAATATCTCGCAGAGATCTGTTTTTTAATCAGTATTTTTAGTCAATTTGAGTGACGTGTAAAAAGTCAATTGGAATGTCAGATAAATTCATTTGGCAAAATTTTAATTCCAGTGAGGTTTCATTGCTCTCCTCAGCCTTACTTTCCGATCTGTATGTATATTGATAAAAACATTGACGTTTTTATCCCACAGCTCACCATAACTTTGTTGTATTTATTTCAAAGTTGTCTATATTATATCCTTTTTTCTGGAAATGCTCACTCAACTGGGTGAACTCAGATCATTATTCGGTTGTCTTAATTTCTCCGCAAGTCAAATTGCTTTAGTAGGAAGTAGCTGCAACATTCGTGCACAAATGTGCAGAGACAAGCAGAAACTTTTTGGACATCCCTTCTGTTCTGAAAAATCCAAAGTGTCACTACAATGACATGCACGCACATTCTCACTCATGCACACATGACATACTTTGCACAGTGGCACAAAATGAAAAATGTCTCCCTCCTCTCTCTCTCTCTTTCTCTTCATTAACAGTGCATGTGTGCTGCTGCCATGGCAACAGTGGCTCCTCCCCTCGCGCTTCTTCTCCTGCTGCTTCAGCTGGCTGATGGCTCATTCCCAGAGGAGCCAGGTCCACTCAGCTACGTCCCTGTAGAGGGTATGTGTCCTTCCCCTCTGTATGCGGTGGGGCGGGGGGAGAGTGTCTGAGTGCATGAGAGTATGTGCGGCATTGATGAATGGCTCTGTGGAGGATGTGGAAATCGGAGGTCAAGGATCAGTCTTGGTGAGAAGCTGGTTTAGAACTGCTTGGGCGCACAGATAAATGATGGAAATTCACTCCCTCTGTATATGGTAGCATTTTAGATTCGTATTTATGTAAAAGGGTTGATTGTCCTAATTGAAGACCATAACTAAGAGAGAGTGTGAAAACATTAGTGATTCGAGGAACTAATAAAATTAGGATCACATTTTTTTTTCTTTATTAAGAAATTATCATATATTGATGTTCATCTTTAGGGAAAAAATGAACATTTTTACTCCTTTGGCAGACTGTGTAAAAAACAGTGAGTTTTCTAGTTGATGAAAAGTTACGACCCTCCACTAACTTGTGTTATCTTTTGGGTGAAATAGCTTTCTTGTGTTCAGTGTTCATGAGTCTAAAGAAAGCTTGGCTTCATATTTATCAGTGATATGTTTAAGGCTTTTTGCACATACACAGCATTTCAAGGCACCCAACATCCCCTTAGTGAGGGAAAGGTTCAGTTGTGGATTCACTGGTACGTTTGGAGATATTGTCATGTTAGATTTTCCTCAAGGACTTTCTTACAGACAGTATCAGGGTGATCTTGAAGTCTGTATTTTGTCTATGCCAAAACATTTGATCTATTCTAGTTTCCTAACACATCAAGTTAACACTCATCTGTCTAAAGAATATTAAACCAGCAGTCCTGGCACAGAGCTTTATTTTTGCAAACCTCCCCAGTTGTTTATATCCGCAGTACCAAGAGCTATCTAGGTTCTGAGAGAAAATTTTGGTGATTTGGAAACTTCTTTTAGCATATTGCAGTCTGCTTTTAGAGTGTTTGGTGGTTGTTTATGAGACCTACTGAAGTGTTTTACTTCACTCTTGAAGTGATCTCCGATTTCCACATGCTCTAAAATCTTCTTTGTGAAGCCCTTGGGACAGTTCTGACCTCACCATGGTGCTCACGCTCATTGCAATACCAAGTAGAACAGAAAACCCTGTGAATCAATGTTGTTCTCAAGTGCAAGTGATACGTCTGTGATTGGTTTTAATCTGTCAAGCAAGTATTAGTGTTAGTTTTCTTCAGTTTTTGTTGTTAAATTTTGTTACTCAAAGTTTTCATTGTTGTCAATGTTGATATTAAATATGTATGAGTCCAAATGTGTTTTAAATAAACTTTGAGGCTGTAGGACAGTGTACTAATTTGTCACATGACCATAGTTGGAAGAAGGCATGTGGCCATGAATCTCTTGTCTCCAATGAAGGCCAGAGAGACGTTTAATCTGTCTCCTGGAGTCAGTGTCTCCAATTGAACTGTTTTTCTGCCTGAAATGTGCAGCGTTTCTGTAATTTAGTTTATTTAAGATGCAGACAGGAGACAAAAAAAATGTTTTATTTGCAGGAGAAAAATAAAGACCTGGATTATAGGGTGGCAGGAAACAACCGCATCAAGAAAGACAAACAGGATAAGAGTGTTTAGTATGCTTTCACCTTCCTCTCTGCCTATTATCTGTGTTTGCCTTAACAAAGCCATCAAGAATGATTGAAGACACTATTAAAGTGAAGGTTAAAGAAGGTGTTTTACAGCCTGCCTGTGTGCTTCTGGTAACTATAGACGCGAAGAAGGTGCTCATTCTGCCCACAGTTCTCAGGAAGTCCTTGAGCCAGGCACATGCATTTTCATTTGCTATGCATGTCACTCTCTCATTTTATATGTCTATGTAATGACGGCAGTGGTGAGGAGATACCCCGTGTTCCTAGGCAGAGCCCATCGCTCCGCTCTGAGACAGGAGCTGCACATCCAAACGGTCCTCCAAGTCAACCGCACGCTTTACATCGGAGCCAGGTAACCAACAGCAACCACCTCCGACTATGACGTGTTCGCATTAATATGTATCTGCTTTCATCCCATCTGCTGTCACTCTTCAGGGGGACATTATCACTAATTTTTTTTTTCCAGCGATAATTTATTCACTGTTATTTTTAAATGTCAAGTGAAAGCTGTGAATGTATTCATAATCGTCTTTAAGAAACCACCTTACATTGCTGGAAGATTAGCTCTGGGCTACAGGCAGATACAGGCAGCTCTGTTCGTTGAACCTAATTAAAGGTACAATGAACGGCCCTGATTGGAGGACAACTCTGAAAATAAAAACTCGACCCATATAGGTAGTTGATCTTTTCAGCAACGTAAACAAGTAGTCATTTAAAGCTCAGTTAATTCCTGCATATAGTGCTAAATTGGTTTACTGATATAGATTGAATTAAGGGAACAAAATAGAGCTTAAAATCTAAGCCCTAAATAAATGTCCTTTCCAGGCACATATTAACATTTTACAACACAATCCGGAAACCATTTTACCGTCAGTGGTTGAAAAAAATGCAGTTTATATATCAAACATGACTTAAAAGAAACTTGACTTTCTAATGTGACGGCTTGACATAAGAATCTGGTACTTTTTCAGACACGTCATTGCGACAGTGCTTCTCTTCATGCCTCGTTTTTAGGAGCACTGGATTGAGACGTAGTTCATATGACGAGCTCACTTCACGAGAGTTAATGTTTGTTCAAGAAACATGCGTGAAAGAATCAAAACAACACTTTGGCTACGTTTTTGATGAGGGAGTAACTTTGCAACATGATATAAAGCTGAAGAAAGTCAATTTAAAATAAAAAATGTCCCCCTTTGAAAATGTTACTGATTGTAAGATAGGGTGTTATTAATTTAAGTAATTTAAGTCGTACCATAATGAAGCCATAATAAACCGTTTTATTGCCAGGCGTTCAAAACATTTAATATGAATATTGTCAGTGAGTGACTCATAATAAAACACAACCAGATGGCTGTCTGATATAAATGATATTTTGATCCATTTTTTTAAGTCAACAACAGTACTTTCATTCAGGCATAAATAAGAGAGCAGCATAAAATACAGTAATCCTTACTCCCCAGTCACCTCATTAGGAAAATCAATGCGATCGCTTTTTAAAGCAAACACTAATGAGACAATCATGTGGCAGAGACATTATGCTTACACATACATCTTCCATTCTGTCTTTCTGATGAAGTGTTTTATTTATTGCATCTTTTCAGTTATCTAAGCAAACTAAAAATGTTAAGGGTTTGAGCTTTTTTGACATTTTTATTTATACTGAATGAGATGTTCAGCTTTGCTAAGACATCTCATTGTAGTCCAATGAAAAAGGATATTCTACTTTATAAATTTGTTTTTCTTTTTGCTTTATGTCACACTTAAATGATTCAGATCTTCATAAACAAATTTTAAAAACCGACAAAGATAGCCTCAGTTAGCACAAAAAGCAGTTTTCAAATGAAGATTTATTTATTTTATTAAGAGGATGAACCTAACAGGACCAAATTAGCTCAATGTAAAAAAGTCATCAGTCCCCTCATTATTTTATGGGTCCATATGTCCTGAAAGTAATTAACTCACAATACCTCGGCCAGATCAGTGCCCGTCCTGCAGAATGAATCCGGAAAGGGTAATAAAAAAAAAACACCTCTAAGGCTTTAGCACTCAATACAATTTTTTACGATCTGAAGCAGTTAAGAGTGAGAAAACAGAAATTTGAGGAATTTGTCATGTTTTGCAGAGATGACTTGTACAGAGTGGAGCTGGATAACATGGCAGGCGAAGAAATGTTTTACAGCAAGGTATCAGTCTTTAGAAAGCTGAAGTTTGACATGCATGTACAGATATGCAGGGGATTCAACATGTGGCTTGTGTGTTTCAGAAAAGGACCTGGGAGTCCAACAAGAACGACATTCGAGTGTGTCGGATGAAGGGCAAGCATGAGGTAAAACGCTCCAGCGGCAGCTGTTTACGAGACATTCTCCTCCTGAGGCTGCACCTGCGTCTGGGGCTTAGTGCAAATTTGATTTTGTTGATACAGAAGCAGTAAATTATCCAATCAAGCTGGTGCAGGAAAACATTACAAGAGTTGAAAGAAGCTTGAAAGGCATTTTTTTAATATATATATATATTTTTGCACGTGTCGATTTTCTCGCCATTTCATATAGCATCGGTATCCTTCAAAAACACAAGAACAAAGCTGTGTTGCTTAAAAACCAAAAGACTGTGTGAGTGCAGGCGGCTCACTGGCAAAATTCAAGCCGGACCTAACTTGTGGAAGAAGATTTGTCGTGCAGAGGAACTTGTATTGAGCAAACCGAGAAGAGTTAAGGGACGCAGCCTCCGGGAGGAAGCTGTAATTGAAAACAGGTGGGGAAGAGAGGCATAGGTAACGACGGGACGTGTGTGGGTGGAGGAAAAATAAAAACCAGGGAACGAGACAGATAAAGAGGAGAGGGCAGCCACTGGGCTGTGAGAGCACAGATTAAAAGACAAGACAGTGTAGGAGTGAAGAAAGGAAGAATTAAAGCTGTGATAAAACAGGAACAAAGACATGAGGAGAAAGACCGACTGCTAAGGGAAGAGGCAGCAAGGATGTGAGGCAGAAAATAAACTGATTCTGGTGAATAAGATTGAACTTAGATTAGGTGAAACTAAAGATAAACAGAAGTACTTTCAAACTCTGGATTAGATTTAGCATGAAAGTAATTATACAAGCAAAGTAGTATGCAGCCCTGTATAAGGCTGTGACAATTTATTGTGAGAACTGAAGTTTTTAGAAGAGTGTCCTAACATTTTAAGATTTCAGTTGATCACATTTTGAGCACGAGTCAGGTGAAAAGATTCACTGTTTTTATGCCTTCCCTCTAATTATGTGTCAGAGTTAAATCAGTCTCTACCTGCTATTGGAGTTTGCTCGTTCTGAAGCTTATCTGTAAGCTTCAGAGTTAGTGGATGCTGGATTGCTGTGTTTTCTCCAAGAACATCCTATTTACCATCATATGCTTTTGCAATGCAAACAAATTTTGAAAACATCTGTTCGTTCGACATGTTTGAACAAAGGACCAAAAATGGTTGACAAGGAGCCTGCAAAAGCAGAGGGAAGTTATGGCAAAGATTATTCTTCGAAAAACTGGCACCATTATTCTGAACCTTAAAAAAAACTCAGAGGAAAAAAAATCAAATTTTTATAAGGAAAGTATAGTACTATCTATTCATATCTATATCTATAAATCTGACCTATATTTGTTCTATTGTTACCCCTTTCAGAGCATATAGTCAACACAATAAAAATATTTTCAGTGGATTAGTGTGAGGGCAGCAGGCTCACTTTACGCCACGCCTAATGAGACGACGGCCGGGCGTCTGTCTTGAAACATCTCACTTTCAGTACATCTGAAACTGTAAAGATCTGCATTGATGAAAAGATGTACATTAGCTTTCAAGTTTTTCCAGAATTTTCTTCATTAAAACCTAGAGAAAAAAAACTTACCTATATGGTTATTTACATGGAGAAGGAGTGGTTTCACGATCCTTAAACGCACTTGATCCTCGATGGCAAATTATGGGAGAATTGAATGTGAAGCTAAAGGATCATGGATCCCGTATGACAGGAATTACTGATCTGTGCAGCTGGTCTTTTAACTTTCCAGCTGACTGATACTTTGCATTTTATGTTCATGTCACAGTAAAAATGTTCGACATGACTATTCCTTTTTGCTTATTAAGTGACTGGCTTTATCTGATTTTAAATAAAGCCCATTTTGTTGTAGGTTATTATTTGGGACAACAGAGGACAATCTGTGTCTATAAAATTAATTCAAAAACTGCACAATGCTTGGAAGTTTGAGGAGAAATACCTCAATTTCCCTCCTTAACCAAAAAATAAAGGTTTTTAAAAAAGATTTTAAAAAGTTGTGGTGTTAGAGTCATGTTGGGTTTTTATTAAAGCATGTATTAATACCTTGTCCAGTTGCATAAAAAGAACTTGCATATCTCCTAAAAGAGATGAGAGGTAGGTTAGCATATAATTTTATCATGGGTGAATAAAGGACCATAACTGTGCAGGAACCCAATTGATCACAGTTGAACAAAATAAGCTCAGAGAATAGGGACATAAAATAAAACAAGATAAGATCCACAAAATGAGATCAAGAACAGGACTAGCTCAGCGTTAGCATAACACTATTACCCATTAGTGACCTGCAGAGGCAGAACCTGCTTTGAACGTCTGCACTTATTAAAAAGACAAAGGTATTGGATTTATCAAGGCATTTTAAGGCATGAAGGTATGGCTTCCAATTAAAAGTACGTTTCTGATCGTGTACTTCTGATGGACACGAATGAATGGTTTGACAAATGGTCCGAGAAGAAACCTAATTTGCTGATTTTCCCGATAAACAAAGCTAAAATTGCATTAAAGAGATATATTGCTGATCTGCCTACAGAAGAACATAATCAGACAATCCAACAGATGGACTAAATGAGATAACAGGGCTAAGAAGTCCAAGGTTCACTGAGAGGATTTTTAAACTTCAGTGTGCAGCCCAGACTTTGAAGACTGCAGCCAGAGCCCCATTGTTCTTTGGAGAGAGTGCAGTTCAGGGTTTTGTTTCACCTTAGGGCTGTTATCACATTTCTTCCTCTGATTCTCAGCCTTTCATAATCCTCCTTTTCACAATGCCCTGAACTTCCTCTTCTTTCTTTCTCCTGATCTTCTCTTTTTCTCCTTTCCTGCAGGGAGAATGTCGTAATTTCATCAAGGTCTTGCTCAGCCAGCATGATGGCCTGTTTGTATGTGGAACAAACGCTTTCAACCCCCTGTGTGCCAACTACACTGTTAGTATTCATCTATCTGCCTGTAAGGGAATCTTGGTGTCTCCCAGTTGGGTTGTCTTTATGTTGCGCCTCTTATTGCAGCGAGACACTCTAGAAATGGCAGGAGAGCCCGTCAGCGGGATGGCCCGGTGTCCATATGATCCTCGACACGCTAATGTGGCGTTATTCGCAGGTAGGAGGTCAACTTTGCTCCCCAAAGGCTTTTTTTTTTTTTTTTTTTTTTTTAGCAGACGTAGGAGTTAATTTTCAGTTCCACGCTCCAAAACGTCCACGCCCTCAGGTTTACCTTTACAAATGATTTATAGCCAGACCTCTTCCTGCATTGCTTGTTTGGTTTTAATCGTTCTGACCTTGTCCTATCTCTCCATCTGTATCTCCCTAATCTCCTCCCGTCGTCCCTCTCTCCTCCTTCCCTTCTTTTAGATGGAAGTCTTTTTACCGGCACCGTGACAGATTTTCTGGCCATCGACGCGGTGATCTATCGTAGTCTCGGCGACAGCCCAGCTCTCCGCACTGTGAAGCACGACTCTAAATGGTTTCGAGGTACTTTTGGAAACAGGCACATTAGAAGTGACCCTCAGGGCCGAGACTCTTTCAACAGACAATCAGCAAGCAAATAATTGAGACCACCCATGCTATCGTTTGTGCTGAAAGAAAACTGAACCCAAGTTACTCGTAACAAGGCTTGCCTTTTTCTGAATGTTAACTCTAATGTACTTTAACTGCCTCTCTTAAGGTGACTTCAAAATGTTCCAGAGCTACAGGTATTTGTCAAAACGACTTCCTGTTCTCTCAAGTGGAAGCCCAGGAGCGCCAAATGATTTGAAACTTATGACTTTACAAGGTTGCTATTATCAACTTTTTTATCCAAATGCAGGCACAGACATTAACTTTTAATGTTCATTAGTAATGGGTGCGGACAAAAAGTTTGATTATCCAATTTTTCAAACTTAGAAATTTAAAAAGTATGAATTAAGTTAACACCACCAAATGGTAGGAGTCTGACATAGAGATAGAAAAAGTTTGTTCTAACAAAATAAGTATGTTCTGACAGAACCAGACATGGTTATCAGGCCTCCCTTTAATAGGCTTTTTATAATAGGAATGCACTCAGACAGACTGATGTATTGAGGTTAGCCAGAGTCCCTACAGATTCAAAGTCTCAACTCGTCTCTTCAGCTGAGCAGGGCAGCCTGAAGGGGGAAAAGCAAGTTCAGGCAAGACGAAGCCCTGCAAGATGAATAAATGATAATGATAACATCTTCCCTGATGTCTATAAGGATTGATTAAACAGGACATGAATGTTTAATTAGTCAGTGTGGTGGACAACGGTGTTTGATGTTGATGAGGCTGTTATTACAGAGCCATGTGAGGGACTGTTTGGCTTTATTGTGTTGTCACTTCTTATATTTCAGAGCCCTACTTTGTCAGTGCCATGGAGTGGGGGCCACATATTTATTTCTTCTTTAGAGAGATGGCCATGGAGTTTCATCATCTGGAGAAGGTTCTTTCCTTTTGTCATGTCTTCTTCTTCACTTTTTGCTTCTCTGCAAGGTTCTGGGAATTTGTGGGCAAGAACATTTTCTTCACCTGTTGTAGAAAAATGCCATTTTTGCAGTGAGTTGGTGGAAAAGTGAATACATCCTAGAAGTAATTTTAGCTGATTTAAGCAAATTCAAACAACTCAAACTGGAAATGTTTACACTCGAGTTGCCTCAGTATTTTTGGTCTAAATAACTTGAGTTGTTTAGGAAACAGTTCATACCAAGTCACCGACTAATTGATTCTATATGAGCTTAAAAAATGTTGGTCACGTCACAATGCAGCAAAATAACACACCAAATTGTTTTTCAGCTTTATTAACTTTGGTGAAAAAGTTAATGACTGGTCCTTCAGCTTTTTCTATTTAGACATTTGTGTGGAGAACCGTCCGTGGATGACAATTGCATCTAATCAGAAACAGGACAAGATATTCAGATGAAATCAAAGCAACTTCTTAGTTGTTTTTTTTTTTTTGATTAGACACATTTTTATTGAAACTTTCTCAAACAAGAGTATTTTCAGTCTGTTTTATTTTGACCTGATAAGATCAGCTAAAATATTGCCACTTGTTTAAGCAGCTCTCACAAGTTTTTTTTTTTTTTTTTCACTTTTGAACAAATTAATTGTGGTACACTATCTATCAACTACAGACAAATGAGAATTTACTGATAATAACTTCACTTAATTTCATTTTTCTTAAAGTCCAAAGTACTCCTTTCCTAATGTTTCTATATCTCTGTTTCTGCATCCAAGGTTATGGTGTCCCGTGTGGCACGCGTGTGCAAATCAGACTTGGGTGGCTCTCAGCGTGTCCTCGAGAAACAGTGGACCACATTCCTAAAGGCGCGACTGAACTGCTCCATCCCCGGAGACTCCCATTTTTACTTCAACCTCCTACATGCCACCAGCAACATCATCCACATGCAGGGACGGGATGTCATCCTGGGTCTGTTTTCCACACCACCAAACAGGTAGCCAGAGACACACTGTGTGCACCTACAGCTGAAAAGAGATAATTATTTTCTCATCAGCGGCTTCCCTCTCCTTGTCTCTGGCAGCATCCCCGGTTCTGCAGTTTGCGTGTTCGACATGCAGCAGCTCGCTCATGTTTTTGAGGGCCGATTTAAAGAGCAAAAATCCCCAGAGTCTATTTGGACACCTGTACCAGATGAAGCAGTGCCTAAACCAAGGTAATGTGAAGCAAAAAAAAAAAAAGAGAGAGAAAAAATCCAGCAGAGCACTGCAGCACTTCTCTCCTGAGCATCTGTTCCACAGATAGTCTTCTTACTGCTCCCTTATGAGCTCCAACTATCTGTCCCACGACTTCTCCAATGCGTTTCAGTTAAAAATGACCTATCTGACTATGAAAACGAGTCCTCCGTAACCAATTCTTCTTTCTTTGGGGTGTTCTTTATTTATGCAGGCCTGGCGGATGTGCAGTGCAGGGATCCAGATTTAGCACCTCAACAACTTTACCAGATGAGGTCCTGAACTTTGTGAAGACTCATCCGCTAATGGATGAGACTGTGCCACTGCTAGGACACAGACCCTGGGTGGTCAAGACTATGGGAAGGTATGCATATTGATGTCTTTGTTAGCTTGAAAAATGCAGGCAGATTGCTCAATGTTCTGATTTATTGTCCTACGTGTCTAAGGTACCAGCTGACAGCCATGGTGGTAGACACAGAAGCTGGGCCCCACAAGAACCACACTGTCTTGTTCCTGGGCTCCACCCGAGGGACCATTCTCAAGTTCCTAATGATTTCTGGTGGAGATCCAGTCTCCCACAGCAGCGTGTTTTTGGAGGAGGTGGAGGGATTCAACCCTGAGAAGTGAGTGGGAGTCAAGAGATCCTTATCACTTATCTCCAATAAACTGCAGTTCTTGGCATAATGTTCCAGATTGAGGCCCACAGCATCCGCTCCCAATTGGGCTCTCCACTTATGAACGATCAGTTGCGCTTACGGAGTTCTCTTAAATGCCTTCTTGCAGCAAAAGCATATTCAGTTAAAACCACGATGCCCATTACAGGTTACTTATAGCATATAATTAGAACCGTATAACTGTATAAACTTTTTTCTGAGCAACAGCCTCAGAGCTGAGTGTTATGGAACCCATTAGATGCATTAAATTGCGTCGAGCTCAGGTCTTTGCAGAGGACATTGAAACAAAGCCTATTAATCATGCAACAAACCAATAATCTAACTGTCCATCAGTGTCAAGTCAGCACCCCTGCTAATGTGATTTCTTTGACCAAAAACACTTTGCTCTCATCATCCATGTAATGACATGCTGTGGTATTAAGTGGCTGGGCAATTAAAGCAACATGTTTTGTGCCTGACCACTGTTGAAGTAAGAAAGAGAGATCTGCAAAAACAGACACATTCCTACCTCTTGCAATTCAGTGGGGGGGAAAAAATCTGTAAAATAGCACATTATCATTTGGTTCTCTGTAAATAACCTCTGAATGCAAACAAGACATTTGTTCTTAAAGTTCACATGACCTGCTGTGATTATTTTAAGAGCTGACTGGGTTTTAGTCTGAAGTCTGTATTGGGTTTGATCCTGTTAGTTCAGCCTTTGGTTGAAGTAACCTGAATCAGATACAATATGACCTGCTTGTAATCTTTTAATAGAACCTCACTTCAAAAATTCTTAGTTATTTCTTCTTTTATAAGATGAGGAGTTGTTCCGATTTTCTTTCAAACGTCTATAAGTTAAAAAGTTATCCTTCAAGAAGCTGGAAGCACACAATGGAAAGGTTTGTTTGACAGAAAGTTAAAAAGAATTACCGGTATGTTACTAAAAAATTTAGGAATATAATTGTCAGGTTTTAGCTTCTGGTACTGTATTTTTACACATTTGGTATTTTGCTAGTGTTTTATCTAAGCATATCTACCCTATTTTTTTTTTATTTTTTTTTACTTCAAGAAATCTATTTGGATTCCTCAAATATGGTGTGCAGGGAAAAAAATACACTTTCAGTTTCTTCTTTTTATTTATTTATTGTTATTTTTATTTTACTTCTAGACTGTTAAGCTGTTTGTTTATATTTTACTGAGTGTGTCACGAGTTTTGAATTGTGCAGAAAGACAGAAAGGGAAACACGACCACAACAGCACTTCATAAAAGCAAACCATAACAATATTTTCTCTTTAATAGAGCATTTTATGTCTTGCCTCTTCTATAAATTCCTCCAAAAGAAGTTATAAAGTGCAAAGTCATGAGCTGTTTTATTATAGTAAATGATTGTACATGATGATGCCCTGAGTCCTCCTGGAGTTAAAATGAGCTTTTTGTGTGTGTTGCCTAATGAACAAACAGATAATTTATGCTAATGCTTTGTCAGGCTACTCTGTTAGTCTACTGTCTGGATTGATTTTATAGATTAGTTGTCAGGCTGGAAAATGATAGACAGCATCTACTCCTCTGTACGTCCTGAGTGTTCACACTTCTACCTCCAGGTGTGGTGAGGACTCTCCTCAGGCCCGTCAGCTCTTGTCCCTGACATTGGACCGAACCAGCCACACTCTGCTGCTGGCCTTCCCCTCCTGTCTGGTCAGAGTCCCCACATCTCGCTGTCACCTGCACGCTCGCTGCATGAAGTGAGTGACATAAATCCACTTTTAGCATTTTGTTGCACTTGTCTCTTAGTCAGATTTATTTCAATGCGGGAGTCAAAGCTATTTTTGCTGGCCAAATCAGATTTATTCTTGATTTTCTCCTCTCGTTGCTGTTGCCATCCCCATACAACTTTTGCATTTCTGTTTTTTGTTTGAGCCAGCAGATGAGGGAAGCCATGTGTGTTTGTCAAATCACAGCTAGTTTGGTTTGGTTTATTTTTCACTCTGAGAATGTTGATCTTCCCCAGAAAATAATATTTGTCTTGAAGCGAGAGGCTTTTGTGGGATGATGGTTGAATATGAATACAAAGGAGGAATTGATTTGTGAAAGTAGAGCACTGTGCAGCTTCCCAGAATGAGCATGCACCGGATTGGATTCAAAATGTCCTCCTGCTTGGTGCCTAAAGAAGATTTGCTTAAGCTACTTCTTATTCCACAGACTTTCCACTAATTTTAAATAAAGTGACTTTATTTTTACAAGTCCTTTAAGGCATGGCTGTAAAGTTGTTGATTGTGTGGATGATTTTTTTGTCCTGTGTTGCCCTGTCTCTCACCTTTTGACTTCTGATGTCCTCATCTCACTTTATCGACTCACTTCTATGAGCTGATGCAGCTTTTTATTGTTTATTTTCAACAACTAACCAGTAACTCGCTCTCTAATAAGTTTGTAACGTGTTTCCGAACCCCAATTGCTAGCCTTTCGAATTTTGCTAATTCATTTTCAATATAATTCTGTGAACACTCAGGAGCTGTCTCGCCTCAAGAGATCCATACTGTGGATGGACCAGAGGCAGTACCTGCTCCTTTCTGAGGCCAGGGACAAGGTGAGGGGACTTAGCCCTGAAAAAACTCTGAATGGTTCTCACTATGCAGGTGGACTATAGTTAGGAAAACTGCTGAGTGTTTAATTTCCTTCTGCTTGGTTATTGTAGGTGGGAGAGCATAAAAAAGCAGAAAATAAAATAATCAGTTCTTTTTTTTTAAATCATTTAGTGTTAGTTATCTATTCAATAGGAGTCATATATGTAATGAATAAAACTTTAAGTTTTATCATTATTATAAAACATTCTGATTGTGGCAGTTTAATTTATTCTATTTCTGTCTTCTATGAATCGAATTCTTAGCAACAGATTTAAATAGAGAAGCGCATTGCAGAATGCAATGAAAAGCATTAACACGTTTTGAAGCTGCAGTAGCTCTGTCATTGGCTTTGTCTTTGGAAAGCAATATTGTAAATACAGAACCACTTAGCCAGATGTACTTTATGTGGAGAGAAAAATACACACCAACAATAAGCTTTCCGGGAAATAAGCATTTTATTGATTATTTTAGTCCACCAGGACTTTATTTTGTCATTATGTCTGTGCTAACACAGTTCATGAAAGCTTTTTATTTTTAAATACTTGTCAGTTACAATTTAGATGAAACACTTATTCAAGACATGTACTTACAGATAAATAATGATAATGATTGTTTTGGTTTTTGAGGAAATGATCATAATTGTATGCATTTCTCATTAAATTTCTTACATTATGAGTATTAAAAACCTGAACTGTACAGAGTGTAATTCAGGCTGCATCGTTGACCCTCGCCTTTGACCCTGCTGAGGAGGAAGATCAATAATGAGCTCAGCAGTGTATCCCATTACAATGGATAATTTATTACTTTGTGCCCTATTGATTTTATGCACAGCAGCTTGATGACATCGTACTTGATTAACATTGTAGATTACAGTGAACATCTTTGTCTCTTTTAAATTAAACTGTTTTTAGGCAATGAACATCGTCTTATCTCCCATTTGAATCCAAAGAGTTAAATACAGTTAATTATGAGCAGTGGTGTTTTTTTTCTCCTATGATTAAAAAAATATATATGCTCATATGTGTTTCTTTTGTGACTACAGAATCCCCTTTCAACAAGATGTGGAATATGGAAACGCCACCTCCCATCTAGGAGACTGTGATGGTAAGTTTCAGCAGTATAACATGGATTCATCTGGGTCCTCATAGTAGAGTTGGTGAGTGCTCCACCTAGTGGCTCAATTCTTTACTGCAGGTGTCTAATTGTGAGTGAACATGATGTTCTGGCTTTACCAAAAAATGGAAGAAAACAGAAATTTATGACCAATCTGAGCTCATTAGGGTCTCTTCCATTCACTATCTTATTGTCTTTGATTACCTGAAGCAGGTAGATAATGAGCTGAGAATGCTCCCAGTGTGACTATTTTAATTGCATTTGATCTGAAAAAGGGCGTAGACAAATCCAGACTAAATGCATCATCCTTTGGCTTCTGAGGTTTTGCTTTGTCAACGCTGGAGATCTGAGAAGGTTGCTGGTGAGCAACCCTGAAATAACTTTAGCATAATGTCATATTGTGTCTTAGAGAGGATCAGATGTGAGTGCGTGGGGACCACAGAGAATTTATTTGAAGTTTAGCCTCAATTCAGTTGCTAAGAGTTCCCGAAACATAACAAAACGAGCTTGGGTTGCATATTCCTTGGCTCTGATCCTAAACATTTGTCTTAAAACTATATATTTAATCATCCTCTGTTTATCTCACTCCTTGAAACTTTCCCTGTTTGAGGTAAGTGATACCAGACAGCCGACCCGGTGGACTCTCATCCAAACTGTGAGGAAAGCTCAGAATATGTCGAGCCAGACAAGCCCTGTGTCTGCAGATGGGAGCGATTAGAGTTGGGTGGAAACATTGAGGTAATGGTACAATGTGAGGACGGATTCTTAGGTCAGGCAAATGGAAGGAAAGAGTGAGGACGAAGATGGGGGGGAAAAAAAGAGTCAGCTGGTGTGGTTTGGGCTGTATGATGAGAAGTGCAGGCCTCAGTGAACCTGGAGCTCATGAGGCCTCAAGGACAAACTGGAGAGAAGATTGTCTTAATTCTGTCAGAAAGCAACCCCATAATGTTCGGTGTGACTAAGAGTGTCATTGTAGGTATTGAAAAATATTGTTAAGTAACAGGCTATTTCTATGTGTAATAAAAATAATAATAATCCTTTCAGACAGGAGCCTGAGGATACCATTTGCACTAACTGTCACCTTTCTAATTATGTCTCTCAATCATTCAGGAATTCTGCAGCAGAGTTTGTTGATTGAGCCAGAGAGCCTGGTCTCCCTCAATCTCCTCGTCGCGTCTGCAGTCTCGGCCTTCACCATTGGGGCAGCACTCTCCGGGCTCGCCGTGTGCTGGATCATGGCCCACAAACCTGCCAACCGCCGTCATGGCGGCAGCTCCCAGTCCTCCATCCAGCGGCGTGAGAGGGGCCTACTGAGTAACTCCGGCGGGATGGCTGGCTCTGTGCTGAGCGTCACAAGGCAAGGAGGTGGAGAGCGCTCGTGCTCCCAGGGTGGGGAGACCCTGTTTGTTATGCCCAACGGCTGGGTCAAATCGGGAGAGCTCGACCCGGGATTCCTGCCCACTCCGGAGCATACCCCGCAGCAGAAACGCAGAGGCCTACGACTGTCTGACTCCAACTCCGGAGGCTGGGACACCAGCCAGACGTATCTGGGCGGAGGGTCTGTTGGTCTGGGCTCGCCCTGCCGCATGCCGCCCTCTGTCTACCTGACCACTAGACTCTTTCAGCAGAGTGGAGGGGGGAGACATGGAGGTGAGGGACGGGGGAACGACACACCACGCCAGCACTATGTCTGCTTGAGCAAACAAGAAAAAGGAGGGAAAGGCACCCCCCGGGCCCCCGTTAGGAAGTCTGCAGGAGAATATGTCTACCCCATGACCCCTCAGGACTCTCCTGAGCGCAGGAGGGTAGTCTCGGCACCAAGTGCCCCTGTTGAGTACAGCGAGCCGCTGCCCTTGCGTTGGCCAGCCCCAGAAGGCTACATCCTGAGCAGCCATGGGATGGTCCCTGTCCCCCTGCCGCCTCCCACCATGCCCCCTCCCGGTGGTCAGGCCTACATGTCCCAGCAACACACACCAGGTCTGAGCAGGGCTCTGCTGAGAGGAGCTCTGGAGCGGGGGGAGTTGGGGGAGTTGGTGGATCTCAGCCAGCTGATGAGCAAGAAAAACTGCAGTGATAGGACTCAGGCAGGCCAGTGATTCCGGAGGAAGTGAAGCATTCCTTCCATGTGTGGAGCACGCCGTTAAATTTCCATGGATCTCTCTCCTTTCTCCTCATTCTGTCAATCCCTCTCCCTCCCCTTTCCATCCTCCACATCTATATTTCACCGTCATCCAGCCTTTTTTCAAACCTTTCACTCTCTCAGGCAAATCTCTTCACCCCGTAACGAGTCTTTGCCTTCAACTGGCTGCTGGCTCTGCCACTCATATCCTTGCTCTCATTAATTGGTCAGACCGACTGAGGTTGTTGCCGTGTCTGCAATGCAGAGTTGCCTTTCCCTCCAGCTCTTTGGGATGAGAGAGAGGAGGGGATGGAGGGAAAAAGAAACGGAAAGAAAACCAAACCGGGAGCATTGAGGATAAGGACAAAGATTTAAAGAATGCCTTCCTTCTGAAAATTGGCTGGATGCTTTGTCTCTTCTCTATAACATTTCAGAGACTGCCAGCCATCTGTTCCTAAGTGTATTTCCTGTCTCTCTGATTGCCAACAAGGTACTTGAAGCAAAATTGCAAACTGAAGACTATTTAAGTATCTAAAGCTGGAGGTGAATCAACAGGCAGTCATTGGGACTGAACAGATGAGTCTAAGCAAATCCCTCCCTGATTTCCTTTTTATATTCCTTCACCTTGCAACACACCAAGAGCTTACACATGATTGTACAGGTGGATCCCATGTATTCTACAAAAAGCATGACTTGTGTGCCAAATGCCTCTAACACGCAGGGATACAGGACCATAACTCATGGCTGTGGAGAGCAGAGTGCAGCACTGAAGTGTCAGCACTATTCCTGCCAACTGCACCCTCTGTGTAATGACAGCATCTCAGCTGTCCGTCTCCCCCCAAACACACAACCACACCAACCCCAATACGCCCCGTTTTTTTTAATGACCAATGATTCCTCAAGGACGCCTGGTGGGACTGCGCCACGCCATTGGACGGATGTAGAAAACCCTTTGCTGAATTGAGGACATAAAGGGGGAAAACAATAAAATCAGATGTGTTGTTCTGAGAAGAAACTCAAATCGCTGCAATATATAAAGACCTTCACGGTCTTTTCGGTTTTATTCTCCATTTAAACACTTGGATTAGTGATATTTATAGAACCCAGCCTGAGTTTTTTGGGCATATTTCCTTTGTAGCCCTACACTGGGTCAAGGTCCTTTTGGATGTGATACAGTACAATGTGACAGTTACAGTGATAATGATTGAAACCTCTGGCTTAACTCAGAGGCAGCAGGGGGAATGGAAATGTCCCCCGCTCCCACATGGAACTGTATATTCAACCTATCAAAGTGTCCTGTGCTATGAAGCATTCTACATTTAGAGCTACACACTGCAGCCTCAAATTACAGTAGAGGCTAAAGATACAGTACTGGAGACTTTTATTGGCACCCCTGGTAAAGATAGAGAGAAAGTCTCAAATTAAATTCATCACTTGCTGCGGTAACATAATCTCCCTCTGTAAACTTTTGAAAAATCCAAAATTTAATAGTGATGAAATAATTGTTTTCTCAAAGTCAGAGGGGCCACAGTGTTTGGTACTCGGGCTGTTAATAGTTTGCCAAAAGGATGGTAAATAAACTTGTCCGATAACAGACTCAAATGTTTTGCCGATAACAGACTCAAATGTTTTGCCATATGCTCTCTTCTATTCAGTTCACCCTTCAGGTTTTCAATGGGATCAGAGTTGACATAAGTTTTATGAGACATACAAAAGACAGGAATTAATGTAGTTGCTGCAAATTTTGACTCTCTTAATATAGCTGTCTAACTATGAAGGTTTTCTCTAGTATGTGTGCAATTGGTTTTCAGAATGTCCTTTGTGACAAACGGGGGGCCAGGGTTTAAAAATTTTACTGCAATATTTCTCAAGTCTAAGACTATGTGGACTCCATCATTGAAGAGAAATAGACCCGCTGCATCACAGATTCTTCACTGCATTTAGCAATGTGCATGCAGCAATTTTTCACCTGTTCCATCTCACTCCATACCCACCTCGTGTTATTTTGTTGCTCAAGCAAATGCGACCCCAATCTGGATTTTCCCATATCCAACGTTTTTTATGCTATCCTACGTGTCGCAAAATCAGATACATATTCGATAGTTTTCAGAGTGTCTACAGTCTGAAATGTTATGTCACATGTTATCTGACCTTTATGTCTTTGGAGATGAGTGCTCAGTTGAGTCTTAAGGAGAGATTAAATCAAAGGTGTTCCTCAACATTCTGAAACTATGAATAAAGTCTGCATCAGTGGAACGCATCACATCACAATCCTACCACTCCTTGAACAAATCCTGACAGACTAGTTTACAGAAGTCTTTCTTGTTAACTTCTTTCATTTTCTTGTGATCTTGTGACAATGCTGTCAGTTCCCGTTGCTGAATAACTTTAAAAATCAATCACAATTTTAGTTGCATTATTTTGTAAAAATGTGCTGCTGTGACATCTGCACATGTTGGTCACGTTTACACAGAAGTCTGATTGCAGTCGCGTTTAGTTTGTAGCAGGAACAATCACCCCCGCCCCAAAAAATGGATTTCAGCAAAAAAAAAAATTGGAAATGAGCATCCAAACCTGCTGTGTGAATGTAGTCATGTGCCTCACAGCATGTCTCTACATATTGTATAAATCCCAGTGAATTTAGCAAACATCAGCTTTTTACATTCATGCTAAAAGCAAAGGCTCTTTTCTGAAATTGTTTCCAGTCAAGCAGTTGACATGAAAATAGCATCTAAAAGTTTTTATAAAGATTGTAGTGTTTCCCAAAATGCCAGTCTTTTTTTTTATTTTTATTTTTTTATCCTCCTCAACAGTCTTGTCCTGGGTGATATATTGGAAGTTTGTAAAACTCTAAACAGACAAAGCAATTTAAAAAATGGTGTCAAATAAATGTATTTTCAAACTGAATGCTTTATTAAAAACTAATTCCCCCCTCGCCAAATAAATGTGCTGAAATTAAAGGGTGCATTTTTGAGAGATCATCCAGCTGCTGTAAAAGATTTATTTACTTTAAATTTTCAAACATGTTTAGGGGTGCCATTAAACGTTATCTGCACTGTATTAAAACGGTGAAACTTAACCATAACTTTACAAGAAGGCTTGATCCATCAGTCTTTAATTGTTAATTGACCAATGAATGCTGGTTTGTGGGCAGCAATATATACTTTAAATGTACATATGAAACTTTGATTTAGATGAAATGATAATGTAAGACTGTAGCTCCAAAATATATAAATATATATATACATATATAGGCAAGCATCAGGCTTGCAGGCAGAACATTTTTCATGCCATTAATGTTTTTATATTCAAACGATTCATATGAACTGGCTCTAAGATGGATCTCACAGAGTCACAAGTGTGTCTTTTTCACATCGTTGTGCCAAACCCAGCTGATGGAAGACTTACTGATGCCTGATTCTACAGAAGCAAAAAAAAAAAAGAAAAAAAAACTGAGAGAAACGTCTTTAAGTGCCATGATGAAGTCCATTTCAGTCAGCAGTGCACCTTTCTCATGTACTGTGGTTTTGAAGAACTCTCTAATTGCAGTATACTTGTGATATGTATGCCTTTGACCTTACATGCTGAATGTTTTCTTCTTTTTTTAAATGAGATTTTGGCTTGTACTGTTGAGATAATTTTTTTTTCAGCTCCCCTCTAAGTTGCTGAATGCTACTTTTATCTCTTCATGCCATACACTGTAAATATGTAAGATTGAATACTGACGACTTGTCATGCCCGCTATGGTTGCAGTGTTTCTGTACTCTCCCAGATGGACATGAACTGTGTGTTCGGCTCACATTTTTATGACAATGATTCCTGAATACTTTATAAGCAAACCTTCAAATGGACTGAAACGCACTGAGGGAACACTGTGTGACTCATTTGTGAGGTTTTTTTGTTTGCAGTCTAGTGATTGTCTTTCTTTGCCAACCAAACTGCCATACCGAGAGATCTTCAACCTGATTAGTGAATGTGCTCATTCTGTTTTTCCTTTGTGGTCATCATACTGTGCGATAATAATGAAAAGCACAAATTTGTGTCATTGTTTCTTTAGGTTTTTTTATTATTGTTATTATTATTATTATTTTGAAGGAGCTGTCTGTATCATTTGTTAATAGTGTAAATAATCATCCTGAATGTATCGTGTATTTGGGTTTATTGGGGGGAGGAGATGGAAAGGGAAATCGCTGTCCTCTGTCTTTTAAGACAAGGCTGCAAAGGATGTTTTTTTTTCGGTGACAATGCTGTGAATAAAATGTATGTAAAATGACCTGATGTGACTTTCGCTAAGCGCAGAGTTCAGCTGTCTCCTTCAGTTTCTTAGATTAGGATTGAAGGCCCGACCTCAGTCGCTGCTCAACCTTCTCATTTGACTGATGCCTGTAATGTCTTTTTTGCAGTCACTACGCTGCAGCTGATAATAATCAGTACTGCTATTAAATGGCATTATGTAATTGACCACTTGTGTCATCCTGTGTGGTTCTATATGCACTAACCAAAATAAAGGCATGCAGTGATGATAATAAAAAAAAAAAAGCATTTATAGGTGCATACAGAGTGAGAGTCCTCTGAGCTTTTGACACACATAATTTCTGTGCCACTAGAGGGAGCTGGATGCTGAATGCAACCTTCAAGGAAATGAGAATTGCTCTCAGGGGTGCAATTGCATTAAGTGAACATTGGCTGTCTGTGCTGCTATGCATGACGCAGGCTGCTGATGTGCAAAGAGTTGAGGTCTAGAATACCTCAACAGATTTTCGGAAATCGTAGGGCAGATCAAAAGTTAAGAGTATTTCACATGTCAAACCAAGTTTTTCTAACATACACTTTGAAAGGGGTTATTACTTTCTTTAGGTTTAGGAGCTCCATTCTGAATCTAAAGAATTTCCTTAGTATTTTTGTGGCTTTGCTTTCAGACTGTCTGACTTAAATGAAACTTTATTGGTATTGTTCCACAATCATCTCACAGTCTAAGGTAGTTTTAGCATATTTCTCCACACAGCATTGCTAAAACTCAGTCCAGTTTGTATCCTAGCTTCCTCAACTTTTTTCAGGTCTACAGACACACCGTTGTATAATACTGAGATCAGGGCTTTATGATGTGCTCTATAAAACATCGACTTTATTGTCTGTTTGATTTGGACGACATTTGGACCCAACCTATAACTTACTAGGTGGTGTCTCTACTTTAATATCTTCGCAGAAGTTTTTTTCTCGTATTTTGTGAGGTGCACCTTTCTCACTGGTAGCAAAACATCTACACATGTTACAACACCTTGCACTAAGGTGTTCCCTTTTCCCTCCATGTGTCACAATTGTCTTGATGGCTTAGCATTGTAATTTTAGTTTCATGAGGCCACAAGGTAGGTCTCCAAAAAACTCCAATCTGGTTTTTCTATATATAACTGATCTTAGAATTATGCCCTCTTTCAAGTGGCCTATCAGTCTATGTTGATAGGCCACTTTGACCATTTTGTGACCATTTTGTGATAGACTGACCATTTTGTGATAGACTGGTGACCAGTTCACTGACAGCTGGAAGCCTAATAATAAATATGAAAACTACAAATTCACAGCAGGAAGAGAGCGCCACCAACAAACTTCGAATCCTCCTGCAATAGAAGATGAATTTATTTTGAGCAATCCTGCACATCTACACTGCGGTAAAAAGAGATGAACAGGAAAATGTGCCATATAAGAAACATTTGCACAACTCTGTAAGCTGTTCAAAAAGTGGCAGTCAGTGATTTATGTGTAAAAATGTTTTAATAAGAAATAGTAGCTGATGGAATCAAAGCAGCAGTTTGTGGAGGCGATCCAGTCAGACACTTGCAAAAACATGTGAGCTGGCAAAGATATTTCCATCCAATTTGATGGCACACTTGAAAAGAAGTTGACTATAAAGGCAATGTGGAATGGTGTGTAGCAGACAAGAAACACCATCATGTTTGTTTTTACTATACCAACAGTGTTTTTCTTTCCCTCTGACATGTCCTGCTTATTCTCCAAAATACAGATGATCCGACTGGAACAGAACACAATTATCAGCAGAGGAGCCAGGTAGCCAATAGACAACAGAAGCCAGGTAAATTGTGGACGGAGTTTCTTATTTTTACATCTTTCATAGCATGTCCAGAGTTTTTCAGGATGGTTATCGTTGCGAAAAACAACAGCAATTGAAACTAAAACCACCCAGATGAGCAAGCAGACGGCGACAGCCGCCTCCTTCCTCCTCTTCCATGATCTGGCCTGCAGTGGGAACTTGATAGTCAGGTAGCGGTGCACGCTGATGGCTGTCGTGGTCAGGATGCTGGCGTACATATTGATGTAGTGAGTAAAAATTAGGAAAGTGCAGAGCAAAGTTTTAGGCAGGCAGAAAAAGGCGTCGTAAATCCTGAAGGGAAGGAAAAGGACCAGGATAAAATCAGCCAGAGCCAGGTTCAGCATGTAGATGTGGGTGTCGGTCCAGGAGGCCCGCTTTGCGACGAAGGCCCACAGAGCAGCACCGTTGACGACGAGACCGAGGAGAAACACAAGACTGTAACCCAAACCCTCCAGGATGCTGTAGGAGCAATGAGCATTGGTCTGATTGGTGGCGTTTGTGCACATTCTTTACGTTATCTGTACAAATAAACAATCATAAACAAACAGTGAGCATGACATCAGTTGATCCTTGATAATATCAATAATATATTTTAAGTAATCAATCCAATTTGTCTTTAAAGTCAGTTAGCAAGCGAATAGCAGATATTTACACATAGTCTATGAATAATACACACATAGTCTTTTGTTACACAGTCAATTTGACGAAAAGTTTCATGTTAGTTGAGATTCCCAAAATATTTTGTATTTGCTAAATAAATTGTTTTCAATAAAGAGTTATTTCATCATTTAAGTTTTAAAGTTTAAACGTGATAGATGTTCGTATGGAAAGCCCTCGTGGTGGATTAGATCTGTGAGCTTCTGAATTTAATTAATTCACAACATTTGAGTTAAATGGAGGTAAATCTGTGGTTTCATTTAAAGGCACACCTCAAATAAATTGCTTTCATGTGAGATATTATAAAATAATGTAAATAAAACATCCAGGATATAAGGAAAGACAATTGTCTGTCTGTTATCTCAGACAGCTTTCAGATGTCTAAATGTGTCACTGACATTTTTTGAAACCATTATATGCAAGTATTGTCTCCATGGGAATATCCAGTCATCATATCCCAAGACATTGTAAAGACATTGTAAAGGGGCCACTTGACATTACTATTATGAATACTTTTGTGGAAAGATAGCAATAATAATTTTCCCAAATTATACAGTTTAAAGAAGATTTCTACCAAATATTATGTCTTCTATGTACATTTCAGGATGAAGCGATGGTCTGCTTTACAATGTGGTATTCAACAAATACAAATTAGTTTGGTAATCCTAACTGATTTAAAATAAAAGTTCAATCAAATTTAATGCCAGATAGTGATGATAACTGGTTATGTCTCATTCTATTGTATTTTGGTATTCCCTTTATTTACTTGGAGACAGCCAACAAATTCAGTTCAACTCCATTTCAATTTATTTGTATGCACAACAAATGTCACCTTAATGGACTTTACAACACAATCCCATCAAATTTATACGGAAATATAAAGTAAATGAAAGTTCTAGAAACACAGCCCAAGCACATGGATTGATTTATCCACCGTCTTTACTGTGTGCTCCGTTCAGCCAACCTTTCAACAACCATAACTGTATCTAACATAAAACAAGCACTTTCATTGCAATATCTTTGTTGTTAAAATAAAGTGGTAAAAAGGTGGAACAATTATCACCAAAACAATTCAAACTAAACACTGAAATCAACTTACTTAGTAAGCTGCACTCCCACCTAGAACTTTATGGTTGATTTTGAATGCATTGACAATGGTATTGTCACGTACTTGCCTTCCTCTGATGTGGATTGCTTCTATAATATATGCTTAAGCTGCTGTGGTTTTTGATTTCCTGCATGTTTTTTTTTTTTTTTTTTTTTACAAGAGCTGAACCTTTAAAACACACAAAGAACAGTTTCCATTTTTAATTGCATAAAAGTAAAGGAGTTTTATTTAATAATGCTAAAATATATTTCTGTCTGCAAAAAGCATTTAATTTTCAACACGGTTGACAATTGCATCTGACCCGAGACACAGAAAAACAGAAGTCTGACGGACAACCATCACCTTAAAAAGCCTAACAATAGATGCAATATAATCAAATATTACTATAGTGGTTAATTTAATCTAAAATTTGACATGTTAAATTATACAGGATTTATTACACGCGGAGTACTATATTTCAAGTCTGCTCATTTTGATCATGGTGGACGACAACTTGTATCTCATACCATGTAAATAGGTTGACAAAAAGTGTCCCCCATTTGGTCGACGGAAAACCCAGCAGAAAAGCAACATCTCTAATTTCTCATAAAAACCTGAAGCTGTGGTTGCCAGAATTTTACCATAATATGGTAACATATTATGTCACCATAATTTTACAATAGAATTTTTTATGGTAAAATTCTGGCAACCACAGCTGCTGTTATTTTGTTTGTTTGTTTTTACCATAAATTAGAGATGTTTTTTTTGTTTGGGTTTTTTTTTTTTTTTACAGTGTAGAACTATAGTTCAATTAGCACAGGTTGACAAATGATCCAGTTGTCTACATAATAAGAAAACCTATCACTATGACGTGGGGCAAAGATTACTTTGTTAAATCATAACAAAGCTCTGTTATGATTTAAAGATCGCTTATTCTTGTGAAGTTTGGACTTCCCAATATCTACATAGATAAAAAGTAGTTTTGTTCATGTCCGTAGACCAAAAAGGAGACACTTTTTATGAACCTACTTACATGGTCTGAGATACAAGTTGTCGTCCACCATGATCAAAATGAGCAGACTTGAAATATAGCACTCTGTGTGTATTAAATTTAAATAATTTTGAATTTCAAATTTTGGATTACATTTAACTGAGTAAATTAACTATTTGATTGCATTGCATCTATTGTTAAGCTCACATATCAAGCGATAAAACTCAGACAGCAAAAAAGTATTATGAGGTCAGTTGGGTTCTGGTGGGAGGTGTACTAAACCCTTATGGCTGTAAAAAGCCTTTGTGATTTTGGTTTTATTGGTGTCATCGGTTGCATTTACGTCACCGGAAAACATGCAGGAAGAAACCATGCAGTGCAAAATTGTGATAAATGGTTAGCCTTTATTACTGGTTAACCTAAGTCACTTTGTTTTCAGCACATCAAATTAAATGTACTTCACAAGCACACAACAGCTAAAGAGCAAATTATAAAAAGGTGCAATTTGATTCAAATCCAACTCATGTAGAAACAAATCAATTCAAGATAAAAGTAAACTTGCAAACTGATCTGTACTCTCAGTTGCCAACTTGTTTGACTTTGCAAATACAAAGAATTTCATTATCATTTTTCCAAAAGTAAGTCTTATCTGCACAAGCTCAGCTCTTTTTGTAGCTAGCTGCATGTGTGGGTTTTAAGTTTCCTGTGTGGTATATTTTAGTTCATGTTTGAAGCAGAACCCAATCTTCAACATCAAGAATCTTAAAAAAAGGAACTGAACAGTCACAGTCACAGATGACACAAGGCAGTTTATTTGTTTATTTGTTTTGTTGCCTAAAAACAAAAAGGAACCAAATGTAAAAATGGAGAAAAATTAATTAAGCTCGTAAAAAATATTTTACTTTAATTGTCGCTGACATCTGAGCTGACATATGGGAGTTACTAAACTGAAATATCATAACATTTATTCATTTCAGCACTTGAAATACAACACAACTTTCCCATATCTTTTTATACAGTTAGAAACTATAAAACAAGTTGAATTCAAAACAACTGAACAAATACCAAATCAGAAGATCAGTGGTCATGTGGTGAATGCTGGGCGTATCTGAAAGTGAAACACAAAGGTTGCTTTGCTAAACTCTTTTAATTTGATATACCTTTGGGATCAATAAAGTATTTTGGAACTTGAATAAACATTGGGCTGGCTCTGACAGCAGGGAAAGATAAACCCTCCAATGCAACTACAGAATGGGATTTAGTCAGAAATGAACGTCTTGCTCCTCTGTCTTAGTTTTCTTAGCCTTAACCCTACAGCTCTAAGGTTCGCTGAGTGTAAAACCTCTTTAATAAAAAATAGTAGCTGATGGAATCAAAGCAGCAGTTTGTGGAGGCGATCCATTCAGACACTTGTAAAAACTTATGGCTTGGTAGATATATGGACTTCCAGTTTAGTGGAACCTCGTAGAGTAAACTTACTACATGCGCAATGTGGATTGGTGTGTAGCAGACAAGAAACACCATCATGTTTGCTTTTATTATATCAACAATACTTTTTCTTTCCTCCGACTTGTTTTGCTCTTTTCCCAAAATACAGATGATCTGACTGGAACAGAACACAATTATCAGCAGAGGAGCCAGGTAGCCGAGAGACAACAGAAGCCAGGTAAATTGTCGACGGATTCTCTTATTTTTACATCTTTCATAGCATGTCCAGAGTTTTTCAGGATGGTTATCGTTGCGAAAAACAACAGCAATTGAAACTAAAACCACCCAGATGAGCAAGCAGACGGCGACAGCCGCCTCCTTCCTCCTCTTCCATGATCTGGCCTGCAGTGGGAACTTGATGGTGAGGTAGCGGTGCACGCTGATGGCTGTCGTGGTCAGGATGCTGGCGTACATGTTGATGAAGTGAATAAAAATTAGGAAACTGCAGAGCAAAGTTTTAGGCAGGCAGAAAAAGGCGTCGTAAATCCTGAAGGGAAGGAAAAGGACCAGGGTAAAATCAGCCAGAGCCAGGTTCAGCATGTAGACGTGTGTCGGTCCAGGAGGCCCGCTTTGCGACGAAGGCCCACAGAGCAGCACCGTTGACGACGAGACCGAGGAGAAACACAAGACTGTAACCCAAACCCTCCAGGATGCTGTTGACGCATGAATCGGTGGTGTTGCTGCTTGCAATCGTGGTTATGCTCTCGTTGGAGGACATTTTGAACTTCACCTTGTATAAAATTATTAAAAAACCGTTAGGATGATCTTTGTTTGATAGACAAAAGCCCAAAGAAAAATCCCTCCGCAATCACATTCAACTAAAAGCAATAAAAAGGTCCAACTTCCTTGACACTCTACAAAACGTCAAGAAGATGAAGCTAAAATTAGTAGGTGTAAAATATGAGTATTAATCTTTCTGTCAAAGTCATTCAAGCTAAGAAATAATCAATAACTTACCAAAGGTCCTAGTTTCGTGCCCTGCATAGTCAGAGTTTCTGACTGTATGCAAGTTGCAGAGGGCATATCATGAGTATCTTTGACAGGAGTTATCAACTTGCCTGCATACATACAGTTTGTGTGGTTTTTGCCTTCCTGTTTTGATAAACGCGTCATCTGAAGCTACACATGCTTGTTAAGCTGACACATCTTTTAAGCTGACCTCTAAACAAGAGGAAACAAGAAATTTCAAGAAAAGTTCAATAGCATAACCAATTCTTAGAACTGCACCTGACTTTAGAGTGACACATGAACATCAGTTTCAAAACCCTCTTCTCACTTCATTAGAACTAAACTGAAAAGTTGATCTATTAGTTTAATGCAACAATTTCAAAAATCTTATGCAGATTTATTACACATAAAGTGTCAAGTCTGATGATTGCAGCTTACATCTCATCCAGGAAGTATAAACAGGTTTTGTAATCAGGTTCATAACTTGTTTGTGAATACGAAGGACCCCCTGCTGGCCTGCATACGCCAAGTGAAGTTCAGACAGTGAAAGTTGAAAAATTGCTCTTGAGTGCCACTTTCAGACCTCTGTCACAATTTAGCACAGCTCAGACTTCCTCATGTCTGTAACTGTATTCATAAACAATAAAAAAAATGTTTTTTATTGTTTAAAACTGATTGAAAGTGGACAACAAAAATGGGTAATCAGCCGTGCCTTTGCTTTGCAGTCTGTTTTTTCACATAAGTGTTCCCAAATCAAATTCTGCTCAAGGTCTCATCTAACCTTGGTCAGCTCCCCCAGTATTTAAAGAACATTGAATGAGCAAGAGACTGAGAAAAAAAAATAAGGTAATTAGTTGTCAGTTGTCCCCCAAATAATTTTGATTACTTTTATGCATTTGAAGTCAATGGGGAGTTAGTGTCCACTTTCATAAAGTAGACATCCTCTGCTTGCTGCTGATAATAGCAACTCTAGTAGTTTACATGCTCTGTGGGGGACTGCACCGCACTTTATGCCAACCCAGAATCTCATTTTGTCCTGGTTTGGAGGGGCCTGACTCAAGTAACAATCATGCAAGAACTGCCACTGGGACAATGTGTCCCAACTGGATTTCCTTCTGTTATTCCTCCAGAAAAAATGGTGAGGATTGAAGTGATGAGGTAGACATGGTTGGATCCAGGTTGTGTTGCAAATGATGTTTTTTTAATGAACAAATGATTCACATAATCCAGGCAGCACAGATGACTTACAGCAGAAGCTCTGACTCTGGTAGTTACTGGTAAATAATTACAACAAATGAGAAAAGACTGATGTCAGCAGATGATCAATGCGACAGCAGACGAGAACCTGACAGGGAGCAAGAAGCACAGGTGAGTATAAATACACAGGGAAGGTGATCAGGGGAAACGAGGGACGGCTGGGGACAATCAAGGAACAACGGGACAACGCAGACAGCTGAATTAACACACAGAAAAACCAAATCCTCACAATGTCAGAGGTGTTAAAAGATCATTGGGTCATTTCAAGTTTCTGGTAATTATTACTGGAACATAGGAGAGGTTTCAGTATCGGCCTCTTGCTTACAGCAATGGGTTTCTCTGATGCACACAATTTCGATGAGTGACTGAGAACAGAGAATAGAAAGAGCAAACGTTCACTGACATTGCTAAATAATCAACCATTTGGAAAACTTTACAGATTCCTCTACACATCGACAGGCTTGGCTTCGATTTTAATCTGAACCGAGAATGATTTAAACAAACTTAAAAAAAAAAAAACAAGAAAAGAAAAAAGATTTTCCTGCACATTACAGACGTCTGGTATCTTTCAAGTGTTTACACATAAAAACTTTTAATTTGTTTGGGAAACTGTACAATTGCCTTTGGGGTTTTCTGTTGAAAGTTTGGAGTTCGGATCTGCCTCAGACTGCAGCTTGTCCCGAAGGACCCAAGTTGAAACTTCACCCAGTTGGGGGGGAGCGATTGACGACAGAAAGAAAAAGTGAACAATCAAAGGCTTTGTAAAAACAACAACAAAAAAGTGGGGGCTGTTTGATAATGTAATCTGGAGAAGCCTTTTGGACGAGCCAAATGGAACCAGTGACAAAATACATGACCCAAAAACAAATGACGGAGCTGAAAGGTTTGGAGAATAAAGTCACCTTTTTATTGGCTCAATCTATTTAAGACAAGGCAGCCTGGTTATAGGAAAGTTTTAGAGTAGAGAAGAAAAAACAAGGAATTCACTGAATGAGTTTAATGCTTTTCATCAAGAGAATGAGTGCCTGGAAACAGGAAGATCAAACCACCATCCTGTAGGAAACAATCACAATGTCTCACATTTCACATTAAAACCATAAACAGTGTATAATTAGAAAAAGGAAGAAAAATTATGCGTTTTGAAAAGTGTGACATTCATATTTTTCTCTTTTCTTCATTTTTCCTTCTGTTTTTGTGACTTGCACTTGTGTTCGGCTCCTCTGAGTCAGAACTTTGCAGAGCTACCTTTCACTGCTGCTGAAAGGTAGCTCTGTACCTTTCAACATGCCAGCTTCAACCAGCCAGAGATTGACATTATTGCCCATTTTTCTTTGGAAAATAACTCAAGCTCCTATTTCCTATTAGACTGAGAGCAACTGTAAGTGGCAGTTTTAAATTCTTGCAAAAAGTACATTTACAAATAAACCTTTCTTCATCAAATCAACTCAACTGGAGCACTAGCTGCATTTTAGGGTTGTTGTTGTGGTGGAAAGCAAGCCTCTGCTCAGTCTCAACTTTTTTTTTTCAGATTTTCTCCCTAAATTTGACTCAATACTGACAAAATTATCCCAACAAAATTTTTTCATGTTTCCCCAGGGGCGTGGCATCTTCACTGTGATAGCATTCCACCACAAATAGCATTTTGAATGTAGACCAAAACGTTTCACTGTAGTGTGAGCTTCTACGTGTCCGCAGTGACCTCTAGATTGCATAATTATGGTAAACTGTGCGTGGCTTTGACTGATAAATGTCCTGTTGTGCATCTCCGCTGCTCCTCCAGAGTTGCCAGTTCAGATCTTCTCAATGTCCAGCCTGTCGGTTTAGACTGCAGATAATGGATTAAGCAGAGCTCTATGCACTCTACTGTGTTGTTCTGTCACAACTATCCATCCCAGTTAGATGCGTTGAAGTTCATATTTGTAATGAGAGAAAATGGGACAAAATACTAGATCTCGGCAAGGCTCTCCAGATAAAAAAATGACCAAACTTGCTTTCTGTAGAACATTTGTAATTAATTTGGTGTATTTACTCATCAAAGTAGGATGGGTTGTTGGGCATGACAGATTGTCAGAACACCTGTTTGGCTGCTGTTTGCTTTGAATCAATCCTGCAAACACCATATATTTGCAGAAAGCAGAGTCAGGAAAAAGCCCGGGAGATGTTAGATTAAATCCTGTTTATTAGTCTGCATTTGGCAGTTATTACGTCCCAATGTTATTAAAAGCAACCTTATGCCTCACAGATATTGTTCTGTGGAAATAAAGGCAAAAACAACCTAATACCGCACAGGATATGAGGCAGCTCAATATTTTAGATGCAGTATGTTGTAATTAATTTGTCTGAAATCCGTTTAGGCCCATTTGGTTTTCATTGAGATATTCCCCAGACCTGGTATATTGGTTTCACTGGATTTCTGTCTCCGTCTTCCACGTGGTCCTATCGCTGCGGTCATGCATTCACTTTTATCTGTCTGGTAATGTTTGAAAGTGCCCTTTACACGTCAGTGACAAGGCCAGGAGGAGGAGGAAGAGAAGGAGAGGGCGGGGGTTTTCCATTTAGCTCTAACTAGGTCAGTGAAGACACACCCCTCCCTGTCTTCCCTCCTGGCCAGCCAAGCCAGGAGGAAAGACAGGGATGGCTGCTTCCCAACCCATCCTGTCTCTTCCCTCTCTCTCTCGCTTTTTGATCTGCTACCCGCTGTGACGCAATGCAGTTTTTTTTTTTCCACACCCTCTGAGTTAGACAACCGTGGCGCAGTCGTCCATTTCACCGAGACCCGTGTCCTCCAAAATAGCCCAGAAAACAACTTGCAGCTTTATAGATACATGTCAACTCAAATGACTCAGCAACAACATGTTGGATCTATTTATCCGCCTGAGCTCTGGTTATTAACGCCAGCGTTTCTTTTTTTTTTGTTGTTGTTGTTGTGATTGCATAACGCCACCATATTACATAATGTTTGTGGGGGTCGTCAATCTGTTGTTGAGGTTTTTAGAGTTTGGAAGAAGTCATGTTGCTCACATCCTCCAGAAAGTGTGACTGTGTGCTTGTTTCAAAGACCTTCACCAAGAAACGTCTTGAGGATAACGCATATTTTCTACACGTTATCTGATGTGATATGGAACAATTGCTGCATTCATCTGCGATTTGAATAGTCTCATAACACATCTTGACTTGTGACTTATCATGTGTCCTGGCAGCTCTGTGACAATATGGGCCGAGAACCATGGATGAGGGGCCTACAGTGCAAATTCCAAGCATTACATAAGCTTGGCGTGTTATACTACCAATCCAACACTGGATGTCTCTGTTTCTGCGGTCCGATACAGGAAGAGTGACTCATACAGCAGGGTTACGTCTGAACCGAGCTGCCAGATCTCACGCATCCCTGATTCTGATTCTCCACTGTGCTGTTTACCTCTGCAAACAACAATCTGAGGCGGCCTGCTGACTGCTGTTGTGTTGAAACGCTCTTAAAGTGGGGCAACAAATATTTAATCTGCATAAATCATACACATAGAATAA